GGGGGGGCCGGGCCCGGCCCCCCCCCCTCAAAACCCCCCCCCCCCCGGCCTGGCGCTTCCTGTGACCATGTGGCTCTTCTGTTAAAAAAAATAAATACATCCCTTAGTAAACAGATCCTTTCTTTGGGATACCTCAAGTTTAAGTATTCCTTAAAGTTTGATTATACTAAACCTCTGAGCAGGAGGTAAACAAAGCCTGTCACGGATAAGCTCTCTCTTTTTTTGCCCCCACTCCCTTGTAGGGGATTTTTTAATTTGCATTTTCTAGAAACTACAAAGAAACGGGGGGGGGGTTATCTACATACTATGGGTGAAAGTACAGAAAAACCTCTAAAAACCCGAGAGATGGTGGTCATATATATTGCTTATAAAATTAGCTTAACATTGATATAAGCTTATTACTTTGCTAGATACATTTTAGAACACAAAGTGTTCAAACTTTCTGCTTGGCTGACAGGGGTCAGATGTCTGTGGGCCATCCACAATTTATTTATTTTATTTAGGTATTTTTACCCCGCCCTCCCCGGGAGTGGGCTTAAAGACCTTCCTCAAACCATAGTAGACGTGGCATGGCCCTGGTTTTTCGCACCAGCTGTTATGTGCGATATCGGTAATGTAATGATTACAAGATATGGGAGTGAAAAGGAAGTGAATGCCAATTATTTTACTAACAAAAGAAAACGTGCCCATAAAAAGAAAATAAGAGAGAGCTACAACTAGAAGTATACACCACATTTTCAATCACCCACCACCCAGTCTGAATTCACAAAGGTATAGATCGTGTCAGCAGATAGAAGTAATGCCCTTCTCGAAATGAGCTTTGCCACCCAAGAGATCCTGCTTTAGAAGGTGGTTATTGTCAGATATCCATTTTCCTCTGGCTCCCACAGGTAGTCCAAAGAACTCCACCGCCGAAGCCCCTGTATGGGCTTTGACCTGCTCTTCTAGGTCCGAATAGTAGGAGATGTTTTCCTCTGCTGCTTTGGCCAGGCTGTCCTGTTGATATTCATAACAAACTGTTACATCTATCACTAAGGCCCTCTTATCCCTAACTAATATCAAATCCAGCTTCCTAAGCTGATTCCTCTTATCCCTCAGGGGCGGTTCGTGGTAAACCTTCCAGTCCCGATCCCTCGCTTCTTCGGCCACTACTTATTGTGCCTTAAAATTCACATACGTTGAACGCTGGGGCATTGTCCCAAGATGTGAGAGAGGGATTCCACTCCTGCGTTACAATACTAACAGCTCCTACTTACATCTTTATCTCCTCTACCCAAAAATTCACATGTAGGAACCACGTTTGTCCGTAATTTCAATGCTGTGATGAAATGTCTACAACTGAAACCTCTACCATCTCCCAGCCAGGCACTGCTAATCTTATCCTGCCCAAAAACTCGTACACCACTACCCTGGCAGATCAATGACGTCCATCCCTCGTACTCTACATCTCCATACTCCCTCAACTCAGGAATAACCTGCCCTTCATACATTCCAATTGTTCAAATATATACGGGATACTATCTTTAGAACTGCCTAATTTAATCCACAATTTTTCCACCTTATGTTGCAACCAATGTTCCCTCTAAACTGTGGAGTCTTGTGAGCAAAAATTCTACTTGAGCTACTGGCATTAAAGTCGTGAGCGAGCGATTGGTCTAACTGCATAAATTAGTTTGCTCTTGAGCCATCCTTCCTGAGCTAAGACAAAAATGTGTGAGCTGGAGGCTAAAAAACTGTGAGCTACCTCACACTAACTCAGCTTAGAGAGAACACTGGTTACAACCCCCCCATCCGGCAAATCTCTTTCACCACTTAATCGTCTGTTTGTGCAAGTTTTACCATTCTCCGTAATTGAATAGATGGAACCAACATTTCCAATCTGTTCACTCCTAAACCACTGTCTCAAATTCGTGAGTACAACAAGCTATTAGTGGTACAGCTGGGAAGATGTAACCACTTCTTAATTCTCCCTTGAATAACATCATCAATAGGGCTCAGGTTGACCGAGGTCACATCCAAGTGGTCTGCCAGGTAGAGCAGTCTGGGCAGGATATGTTTGATTAGATCTAGCTTCTGCGTTGGTTTTAGTAGAGCCTGGTCGACCTTTGCCAATCAGGTTTCTACTTCACCAAGTGATCTAAATTTGCACACTCCAGGGATCCAGGTTGGCTCCCATATACCGCTCCTCACTGCCCGGTGCAATCATATGCAACTGCTCCCCATTAACCTTCCATTCGTCACAGTTGTTAATGACGTACGACTCTCCGCCAGGTGATACGTAGAACCCATGGCTCTTCTTAGTCTGAATCTTTAAACCAGATAGTCTACAAAATAACTCAACAACTTCCAACAAACTCGCCATCGCATTCCAATCCTTGCTCAATAGAGCTGAGTCATCGGCAAAAGCCAAAGCTGATAAACTACTTTCGCCAACTTCGAATCCAAAACCTAGGCTATCTAATTTCATAATAAACTGAACTATCGCTATGTTAAACAGCAAAGGAGACAATGGGTCTCTTTGCTTAACTCCAGAACAAAACCGGATGGAATTAGTCATTCCTTTCCGTGTCCAAAGAACCATACTCGCTCCCTCCATGGAGCTCATAGCCAGATTCGCTATATGCTCGTCCAAGCCACGGTCCTGGAGTATCCATTTAATGTGGTCATGGGAGATTGAATCGAAAGCCTTTGCTATGTCAACTAACACTATCCCCAATTTCTACCTTTTCACCTGATCTTAGCACTTCCAGATTTTCTGCACATCCTGACGATGATGTAAATCCCTTTTGCCTCAAATGGATTGGACAAGCCATTTGTAATTTACTGACTAAAATCCTTGAAAACAAACGCAACACAACAGAACCTATTGTACCCGGTCTCCAATTTCCAACCTCCTGCAGTTCCTCCTCACCGTCCACCTTTGGAATTAACACTGATCTACACTGCTTAACTGTATCCGGGATACGCCCCGTCATTATCCACACATTGAATAGGCAGGCGAGCTGTTGTCCTCTCCTTTTCAAATCCCCTATTACTAAACCATCCGGTCTGGCCACAGACTGTTCTCTGATCATACTCATCTGGGTCCATACCTCCTCACCATTAACCAAGTCATAAAACGGTTCATTATCTGCCAAACTAAACCCTTTGAACTGACCAAGTCCCTTAAAATCAAATTTTGTTTCCAGTTTCTGTTTGTATACTGCTTCCACATCCTTGGGCGATATTTCACACTCATAATTCTCTTTCCTCCCTTCTAGAAGTTGCCTTCTAGAATTAACAACACTACCTTGGACTTATCTCTCTTATACAACTTCTGCATAAGCGCAAAATCCATTTTCCTTCTAGTCCTCTGCCATACCCATCCAGGTTTACCTACTCACTTCCCTTTCTTCCCTTCCCACTTCTTCCTCTGTTTGGAAGCTTTGGGTTCTGTCAAACAACTTATCATAAAATCCACTGTCAGATCTTCTACCATCTTTTCTACTCCAATCTCCTCATTGAACCATTTTTCTATAATTTCACTTGCTCCCTCCACCGCTTCCAAATCTACCAACTTTCCCCCCCATAATTGCCGATAGAAGTTCCTTAGTTCAGCCACCTTTCTTCTTATCGGGACCTCTTTACTTAAGTCTTCAACCAATTTTTTTTCTCCCCAACCTTTCTATTCCCGCCTTTTTCATAGCTCTAATCTTACTCCTAATTTGCTTATTGGTCCTACTAGGAATTTCTACCAATCTTTTTACAAATCTACTTTTCCGATTTATATTTCTCATAACAGATCTTCAATTTCTCTATTTCTTCCTCCGTCCAACACCTTTTATGTGCTCCCCTTCTGGACTCTCCTTTTGATTTACTCTCACTAATTCTTTCTTCATTCCGCACTACTGGATGCTTATGCCTCTTGTGTTGCGTTAATCCTATCCTTGGTTTTTTTGTATAAATCTTTTAATTAAAATTTCCAAACAGAATGTACAAATTGATGGTAAACATCAAAACAACATTTGAGAATACATCAATATATCAGGTAACCGGTAACAGTATTATTAACACCTGGTTGGAACCACTCAGAGGGCAACCCTGCCTCACTCCTCTCCGTGTAGAGATCGGAGGTCCTATGATTCCTCTCACCTGGGGGAAGACCTGCGAATCTTCGTATAGAGCTTGTAAAAAGGACAGGAGTGAACCAGGAATCCCTTGAAGTTCGAGAACTTTCTATAAATAATCGTGTCTGACTCGATCAAACGCTTTGCTCTGGTCAAGTTGAAGTAACCACTGTTCTGTCTTCTCCTCTCTGATGTGTTGAAAAACTTGTCACAGGAGACAAACCGTATGAGCCATTTTCCGGCCTAGAATGCCACTGGTTTGTCCAGGAGAGATAACGTTGTGAGCAATCTCAATCAGTTCCCGTGAGGCATTATTCCGTTTGGCTCGCATGCATGTCGTTTTAATGGCGTGTTTGAAACTTTCCCACCAAGTTATTAAGTCAGAATCAACCTTAAATCTCTTGTGAGACTACTGTAAAAATAATCTCCCTCTCAAGGTGGAAGGATTTAAGGTCTGTCTCCCGTAGGGTCCACATAAGCCACTTCTTACAGATCGGGACTACTTTGGATGTCAAGACTCCATGTACCATCGCATGATCAGACCAAGGATTAACTAGGAGATGACAGGTGTGTGGGTGCAGATCTTATATTTATTTTATTTCTTTATTCATTATTCACATTTTTATCCCGCCCTCCCCGGAGGCTCAGGGCGGCTTACAGGGCATATTGCCAGATAAAACCATAAAACAATACA